GAGTTGGATAGAACGTTGATTAGTTTGGATAAGGTTTAGCTTTATTGATGATATCATGTTGTTAGTGTAAGGGGATTACGAAGAATCTAAATGTGACTAGTAGTGATAAAAGAAAGGCCAAATTATTGGAATTGTTAGCTGACAAAACGAAGACCGACAAGTATGCAATTTCACATAAGTATCTTTAGTTTGTATGGAAAAATATTTAGGTGTTTAGGATAATTGGTGTGTTTGATAGATGATAATTCTTGTATTAGGATGCTACTAGTGAATTTTTTTTCTTTTCCAAGTTATGCCTTTTAGATCGTCCTCGAAGAAACCAAAGTGATTCCTTATGTTTCTGCTTTGTTCTTTAACTTTGTTCCCTAGTTTTAATAATTTTAATAAAATGTCAATCCTTTAGTAAAACCATGAGAAATTCATAAAATGCTATGTAATGCAACAAGCACGTGATGATAATGTACCATACGCTAAGCGAACTCGAGCGAACAGTACAATACAAAGTTCCCTACAAGATTGAGACAAAGCTTTAAATAGCTCAAAATCAGATATATGATTCAGTTAAAAGAAATGAGGCCAAAACAGATATCTCAAATTGAAACAACAAAAAAATTGAGAAAATGTATTTACAGCGATGTTTGTTGTTTAAAGAGAAGATGTCACGTGTTAGAGTATAATCATCTAACACCATATTTACTTACTCTCATGACAAAGAAAGAACTAGTCAGATATCCTATGTCATACAACATGCACATAATGATATTGTACCAAACCATGCAACTATTGTGGAGACATGATGATAACGTACCATGCCATATATCTGTTGTGGGGCAAAGCGAACAGTACAATACAAAGTTGCCTATTTAGTAAAAGAAATGAGGCCAAAACAGATATCTCAAAGTTAAACAACAAAAAAAAAAGTGAGAAAGATATTAACAAACAGAAGCAAAAGCTGTTACTGGATTTACATGCTTCGATCTTTCTTCGAGTTGGCAAATTCTTTGCTACACTAGTTGGTGTTTCATCAAGACCTTCAACCTATAAAACCGATTGAGGACAGAAGAACCACAGATCAAATCAGAGAAACATTGGCAAAATAATCTTTCAAGTTATCCATGAGGACTCGCAAAACAACATTAAGTCCTACCAATTCTGAGGACTGAGATTCATCTTTTGTGGTCTTTCTTCGAGCTGTACAAATTCTTTGCTACACTGGTTGGAGTTTTATCAAGTCCTTCAATCTATTAACAAGATTGAGGACAGAATCACAAATCAAAATTAGAGAAACATTGGCAACCCAATCTTTCAAGAGGACTCACAAACAACATATAAGTTACTTAAAATACGGCAAAACCATCTGACTCGAGCTTGGTTTCACAGGTGACTGATCCAGAAATCGAGACAAAATTACGAGGAAAGGCATCTAATCGTGTCGTAGGTACAATTCCGATGAAATCACAGGACTCAACAGAATCGATCACGCATTATCTTTAACAATCAGAGAGATGTTCCGATTCATAACTTCCAAGAAAATTTAGTAGTATTCCTGCAGA